CGGCCTCCGTGATATTGCGCCCCACCGGACTCGCTGTCACACTGCGGCCCCGCTGCACACGACCACACGGCCCCTCTGGACCGACCCGCACCCCGCTGCTGCTGCTGCTGCTGCGCTCTGGTCCACCACATCCCGCCACTCCGCGGAGCCCCGCGTCCCGCCTCACCACGCTACGCCACGCCACGCACAAGTCCCGGTACGTGTCACAATCCCGGCCGGACAGCGCGGCCGATACGTGACCAGCCTTCACTTATTCAGGCCCCGCCCCGGCGCCCCGGCCCGCGCTTAGTAATCCCCCATCACTCCGCGAGGGGACCGCGCGGCCGACAGGACCCCGACAGGTATGCGACGCTTCGTTATTGTTTTCTCTTCTTTTTTTTCAGCCGCGGTGGCGCTTTATCCTGTTTGACGTTATTATTTTCCCAGCGGTTGTGTGTATTTATTCTCCGATATGGAATGGATGCGCGCGCGCGAGGTACCGTCGCAGTGGTGCGGTGGTCGACCAAGCCCGAAATGTTGGCAACCATCGTATTGGTTAGATTAGATTAGGTAAGATTAGATTCATTTCGATCTTTTGTATACAGCACAGTAGATGAAGTCATTATTAGTAAGAACAATGGCTCGGGGAGCACTGTTAAATTCCTACAAAGCATTTGCTTTGCAGAGCTGCGAAGTATTTTGCTCCTTTGTAACTACGAAGCATTTACTTTGCAATTACAAAGTGATGCTTTGCAATTGCAAAGCAATGAAAACGCTGCAAAGCATCGCTTTGCAATTGCTAAGTGTCACTTCGTAATTGCAAAGCATCACGTTGTAATTGCGAAGTAAATGCTTCGTAGTTACAAAGGAGCAAAATACTTCGCAGGCTTTTAACAGTGAGCACGCTAAAATATAGTTGAGACATGCAGACAAACAGTAAAAAAAAAACTATACTGTTTTCTAACAACCATGTGAATGTTGAGCCAACCACATTTTATGCAAAAGTAGGGAACTGACAGTGAGCCGACACAAACAAGTGCCCGAGAGATCTCAACGATCGTGAGCGACGTGGGTAGTTGGCTCACGCAAAAAAAAAGATATATTTCACTAGAACGAGGTTTTCTAACTTTTATTTGTTTGCCGTTTCATGGGAAAAGAGACGGTGAGAGGGATAAGAGTGAGAGGCAGTGTGTGAGAGAGAAGTAAGAGAACACGTCAAGGCCAAATGAAAGAAAATAAAGGGGGTGGGGTGGCAAACAAAACAGAAGAGGAACTGCCCTCTTTACCGTCAGCCAACGCTTGCAAACCACCCCGTCCCAGCCTACGTCCTACGTCCTGGTTCATCATGGGGGAGTGGTGGCGTGCACAACACGGAGGCCAGAGGGGAGAGGCAGACTCACCTGGCGTGACGGTGGGGGACATCATGAGGAAGTGGATGCAGGCGGCGCCCGTGCCGTGGCCCATGAGCGTCACGTTCTTCGGGTCGCCGCCGAAGAGCGCCACGTTCTGCTGCAGCCAGTGCAGCGCGGCGATCTGGTCCATGAGGCCGTAGTTGGCGACGCGCGCTCTCGTCCCGGGCGACGGGTTCGCGTTCAGAAAGCCTGCGGACAAGATCATACCAAATGTTCACCGTTAAAATTGATTATAACCGATTAAATGCATTTACAACGTACATTTCTTCACTCTTAAAATCCTACAATGCTTTGCAAATGCGAAAAATTATGTCCCTTTGTAACTACAAAGCAGTTTTCTTTCCAATTACGAAGGAAAAATATGCTTCGTAGTTACAAAGGATCAAAATCCATCGCAATTGCAAAGCGATGCTTCGTAGGATTTTAACCGTGTTTTCATATTAGGTATTTCTTGACTGGTTTTGTCAACTAGGCGTTTGCGAGCACTTTCGAACTGTGCGCACAAAAATTTACTATTTTTTTTTTCTCGAGAAAGTACTACGCAGTGCGTAGTAAAGTAATAAGCAGTGCAGTTGTGAACGGAGCGGGGGCAACGACCCCATGGTGCGCCACGCTAAGCCGTTACTACTACGCGCGGCGAGACAGCTCGGCCCAGACACGCACGCTACGCCTCCGAGCAGACGATGAACCCCACCAGGCACCATCGCAGCAGCAGCGGGATCATCTCCTGAGCTTTCCACAAACAATAATTCTGCGACACGACGAATGGGCGTACAGTTTATTGTCCTCTGAGGCGGGGGTCCCCCCCCCCCCCCTTCCCCCCCGCTGTCTCTTTCCGTTCCCCAGAACGCGCGCGCCGCCAGGGAAAGGAATTGCTCCAGCAAAAAGAAAATGCGCGCGGCGGCCGGCTCATCTTGTGGCCCCTTTCCCCCTTCGTCTGGACTGGAGATTATTACGCCACATTTCAGGGACGGAATGTGTGCCCCGCGTCATTGGTTTCCACGGCCGTTGTACGCCGTAGCCAACAGGGCCGCCGCTAAGTGAAATTAGTTAGACACACACAAACACACGACTGTTCTTGAATCAAGCAAATGTCCTCGGGACAAGAAAATTTCCAAGCACAGGCCAAGTAACTTGACGTTTCAAGGATAAATACCTTGTTCTAAGCATAATTTCTTGATTCTAGTACCTCTATTTTGGGTGCATGACAATGTGATTTTTATCATTCACATCGCACTATCTCTCATCTTGTTTAGTGATGAAATAAGGATTCAAATAAGCGAAAGACCAAGAAACCACCGGCGTTTTCTCAAGGGAAAGGGACAGGACAGACATTGTGCTCCCCTGGTCCAATATTTGGCTTGGCGGGGGGCGGGCGGCCACGGGGGAGTCCTGGGGAGAGGATACAGGACTGTGGGTCAGGTCAGCCTTCGTTAGCGAGCGCGGCGCGCGGCGCTCCAGCCAAGAGCCCTAATCCAATCGGCAGCGCGGAGGGGAGGGGCAGGTGCACCACACGGTAGGAAAGGAAACAAAAAAACAGCAGAGAAAAGCTTGATCCAAAGACGACGGCGAGCGCGGATTCCATATCTTTCCCGCGGGCAGTACTCACCTAGGATGCCTAGCCGGTAGTTGAGCGTGACGACCACCACCTCAGCGTAGCTGG